CCCCAACCCCCCCTTAGCCCCACCTGTTGATGATGGCGTCCACCAGCACCTGGATGGGGTTCTGGTCCGACAGCAGGTGGATGATGTCAAACGCGTGGCTGACGATGCGCACCTGACGAGCGTCGCAATGAGGGGAACGCGGCGTTGCAGGTTGACATGCGTGCGCCGAGGGCGGGCAAGGCGGCGCGTCGGCAGATGGTGGGTGCCTGCCGTGGAGGTTGAGGTGGGCCGCTCGGCTCGCCAGCTGTGCCGGGTGGCTGCTGCGGCTGCGGGGCGTGCGGCTGTGCCTTCGGAGGCACAGGCAGCGAAGCTGCCCCGCGGCAGGACGTAGGTCCTGCCGCAGTGGCCGACGAACTCGCTGCCCCGCTGCCTGCAGCTTCCACTCGCGGCCGCCAGCCACGGCCTCGTGACTGTCCCCTGATAACACAGCGCACTGGCGGCGCCGCGGCGCCTTGTCACGGCACCTGGCCATGTGCGCCAGCACCGCACTGGGGAGCGACGCGCCCCGCTGAGTTGAGATGGGCTTCCGAACAAGCCAGCCCTCCACGGCCTGTGTGCTATTTCTCCGCCACGACTGCTGCTCGCATCCCGCCTTGCTAATGACCCGCAGCGGCGCCAGCAGCGCTGGCTTCCACCGCAACTGCACAGTTCTCCTGGCGCCAGCGATCCCCGCGCCCAGCGAAGCCAGGTACCGCAGGCGGACCATGCGCGGTCCAGCGCAGCCTCTGCCAAGCGCCACGCCGCCCGGGCGCCATGCGGCAGCAGCCCAACAGCAGTCCTGGCCCATCCTCGCTGCCTCCGCCTCCCAGTTCCAAAGTGGTGGTCGCAGAGACGCTGCTGCTGATGCTGTCGCAGCTGATGCGGCCACCAGGACGGCTGCTGCTGCCATACCACCTCGCGTCTCAACTCCTTTGGAAGCTCGCGCAGCTGCTGCGCAGCTGACTGGTTCCCGCGTGGCGCAACGCTCACTCGCGATTCGCAATTGTCCAGCACCCACACCCGCACGCACCGCCATGAGCTTCTTGCCGTTGTTGCGACCGTGCATCATGATGGAGTTGGTCAGCCTGCGTCACAGGTTGTGTGATGGCGAAGCTTTATCCAGCAGCATTGCGTTGGGCGGCGATGCGTAAAGCGGCAGGCGCCGTTGCGCGGGAACAGATCTACGTGTGCTTGGCGTGGCAACGCGGCTGCGCAGAGCTGAGAACTCCGATTGTATGCACATTAACAACTTGAAAGGGCATGCTGCCCGCACCTCTCAACGATCGGGCACAGGGCCTTGCGGAAGCGCCGCTTCTGGTAGCGGCCGGCCGTGTGAGGCACATAGACCGCAAACTTGGGCTTCACGGCGATGTAGTCCTCCAAGGAGATGTCCGTGACCTACGCGGGGTGCCAGCAGAAACTCGGCCTCCGCTCCCCACTGCTGGCTGCTGCCTTGACAAGCACCTCCCAGCCCCCACGCACCTCGACCTCCTCAAAGCTCCACTTGCCGAACAGCTTAACCTCCACAGCATCGCTGCTTGTGGTCGCCATCCTGCAAGCACAGCACGACCGGGTGAGCTCGGCGCGGTGCCAAGCTTCAACTGGCAGCTATATAAGTGGCCGCGACGCACTTGTATGGAGGCTCTGCGCCGGCGAAAGAGGGCGCTATAAGCTGCTACGTGCGGACAAGTGCAGCGTTTGCCACTGGCAGCACAGCAGGCTCTGCAATGCGCCAGCGCTGCACATGCTGATGGTGGGTACAGGACGGGTTGTCACGTTTCGCGGTGGGGCGATCAAAGCTGCAAACTGCAGACTTGCCGACCATGCTAGCACTTTTGCACACACCAGTGACGAGTCCTAACCCACAGCACCTGTCGAGCGTTCCGGTTGGTTTGAATCGGCTGTGGGGTACGGCAATCCGCAGAGGGCCGGGAAAAGCTCAGCTGTTTGTCCCGCAGTCACGCTGTGCTCGCCATGTCAGGGTGATGACAAGAAAGCCCAACCTCTGCCCATGGTCCACTTGAGCCCAATCATTGGTGAGCAGAGGGTCAGAATCCTTTGCGATAGCGGATGATAACCATGCTGTGCAAAGTAAGGCCTCATGGCATAGGTTGCGTATCATGACAGCCTTTATTGATGCTTGTCACAAACTCTGGCCTTACAGTGGGGTAAGCGTGAGCGAGGTCCGCATCGGCATCATATCCAGGCCGCCTGCGGCTCACAAGCCTGAGCAGCGTGCAGACATACAGACATCACAATGTCCTAAAGATCATTTCTGAGCGTGAGATATCCTGCTGATGGCCTCGGGGCTGGGATGAGAACTCGCGCCGTGCGGGAAAGCGAGTAGGCAGATGACCTCGCGCTCGGAGCTGCCTTGAAGAGGTCGACCCGGTGCGGGGTATGTGATAAAAAAGGTGATGCAAGCATATTACTATGTGAAACTCGATATCTGATGCTTCTCAGGAAGCAGCAGTGCGAGATTCATGCGCTGCTGCGTTCTCCGTTTTTTGCCCGGAGGCACTGTTTTCGAAGAGAAGGAAGCCAGAAATAGAGCATAGATGCTTTTGATATGGTCATGAAGATGGTGACGGTGCACTCGACATCGCCGACCCCTCGCGGGAGCAGCTTTTCGACGCCGCATGCTGCACGCGTGCACAGTCGCTGCCTTTCAGCGCCGCAGCCGGCCCCTGCCGCTGCTGCGGCGCGTACAGTGGCATGCAGCAACGACCAGCGAGGCGCGCCCGTGGCGGCAGCCGCGTCCTGCCGCTGGCCCTGCTGCAATGCTGACGAGGCACCGGCCCCATGCTTCTCAGGGCCAGATGCGCCGCTTGGTGAGGCGCCTCATGCAATTTTGGAAAACAGGACTGATACCAAATTCTGTATACATAGTACCATTGCACCTTGAGCCGCCTGCAAGCGCAGCCTTCAGTTTGAGAAGGGCGGCTGCTACAACAGCCTAAGCCCTTCAGTAACTCAACCCCCCAGAACCATTGCAGAGTGACGGCCTCGCAGCTGGCCTGCAACTGAAGCTTGGCTGCTGCACCACAATCATCGTGGCACTGCTTCCGTTATTGCAGCTGCACACACCTTGCCTCTACCCTACTCTGCTACTCAGATTCAGGGCATGCGCTGGGGCAGACGGGCCGCATGGAGGGCTGCAGCGGCCATGCGGTGGAGCTGGCGGTGTTGACCAGCTTTGACCATGCCGCCGACTGCGCTGTCGCCGTCTACCTTGCCAGCACAGCAAATGAAGAGCAGCGGCTGTCAGAAGAGCCAGGGCAGGCGTGTAATGCTGTCACGTTTGCCCCCGCGGCGGCGGGCGTGGTGCCGCCAGCGCGTCGCATCGGCAAAGCGTGGACGAGGACGCGCCAGGGCAGCAGCGGCGGCAGCAGCGTGGCCGCCGCGGACAGCGACGGCAGCGACGACGCGTCAGAGGGCAGCAGCGAGAGCGAGGATGACAGCGGGGGGGCCGCCTCGGGATTGCCGATGGCTGCGAAGTCGGGCGCGGCGGCGGCTGCTGCGGGCGGCGCGGTGCCCGCGGGTCGGGCGCCCCGCCACAGGCGGCCGGTTACGCCCCAGGCAGGTGCTGCTTTGAGCTGACACAAGTGCGGGCACGGCCAGAGCGGCGAGCTGGCGGGGGGCGATGAGGGCAGGCGGGATGCCGGCCACCGCGGCTGTGGCCCCGTTGCGGCGGCTGCCATGGGTGCCAGGCTCGCCTGACCCCACTTTTTGTGGGGCGCAGCGCGGAGAGGTTTTTGGGTCATGACAGGAAGTCTCGTACCAAATGCTCCAACGGGGCCTCGGTTTGTACCTTGAGTTGTCTGCACAGCGTGGGCACAGGAGCACGCCGCCAGCTCAGCGAGCTGACGCGTCGCTGCCTTGCGGCCTTTAGGCTGGCTCGGGTGTCAGAGCCCTGCGCATGGCAGGCAAAGGGTGTGGGGTTTAGGCAGGCGCCACGTTCTTGTGTTGACTCACACGATTTTGAGGCGGCGCCAGGTACCTTGGGTGAATGACTGACTTGCGTTTTGTTGTATTGCGCCGGTGCACTTTGTCATGTGCTGTTTGTGACAAAATTCCGCGTGCCGTGCGACGCAGGGCTGGGAGAGGGGTTGGGACGCTGACGAGGCGGGTTTCGTTTAGTCCCTGCTTGTGTTTACCAGTGGGGTTTTAGTACACGTGTGAAAAGTTCTGAGGCCTGCGTCCGATCGACAGCCGGCACGCGCCGGCGCGCGCCGCCGCCCAAAGCGACCACCGGGGAAATGGGGCCGCAAGGGCTGCACCGCGGGGGGGCTAGGCGCGTGCCAGCCCAGGGGCGAGCAGGGCAAGCCACTGCCGCCAAGCCGGCCGGCCAGAACCGTAAAACAAGAGCGGCCAGGGTTGCGGAGGCCGTCATAAGGGGCCGCCGAGCGGCGCGCGGGGGGCGCAGCGGCCCGACGAACAAAGCAATGCATGGGGGTCGGGCTACGAAATCACCGGCTGCCTCAGCGCCGCCTCGCGCTCAGAGGGGTTGCATGTGCGCACGCAGGGCGTGGCGCCGCCGAGGCGCGTGAGCGGAGCAATTGTGGGCCGCGGGCAAGAGTGCGAAAGCGGCGCGAGCGGCGGAAAAAATCAAAGCGACGCGGCTGAAGAAAAACAGACCCCCTCATATCCCCGATTACCAATCATCCCCACAAGGGACCTGTGACCGGCGCGCGGCGGCCACCCTGGACAGACGTGCGACCAGCGGCGGCGAGCGGCGCGCGCGGCAGGCCCGCGCCGCCTCGTTGCGGCGCGCAACACGCGCCTGCAGGCGCGTACGCGCGCGCGCTCGGCAACCACACAGCTGCGGCTCCGGCGTCCCTGCAGCCCGCGCCACGGCGGCCTCATGCACCCCCGTCCTTTTTGGGGAAGCCCCCGCCCGCGCCGAGCGCCGCCGCGATCTGCTCCGCCGCCGACGCGCCGGGCGCGGGCGCGGCGCCGCCGCCGCTGGCGCCGCCGCCGCCAGCACCAGTGTTGCCCGTCGCGTAAATCTCGCGAGCGACCTCGTCGCCAAAAAGGGACTGCAGCACCTGGTGGACGTCGTCGTTCGACAGCTGCCCGCCAGCTCCCGCGGTCGCTGAGGTGGCACCGCCGCTGCCGCCGCCGCCGCGCGCCG